TCATCCCCCCCTCCTCCTCCCCCCCGGTCGGTTTTCATCGTTCGACTTGACAAACACGCGCCGCCCAAGACCATATCGTAATTAGTTTCAGTTAACGGTCTTTGTAAACATATACCTACCGTCCAATATGCAGTTAGTGGATGCAGCGCGTTACACTGACGCGCTGTCAATATTTTACCGATCGATTCGACCAAGGCGCGCTTTATCAAACCGATAACACAATACAATATTCGGCGGCCCGAACGAAAACTGAGTGCACTCACTTAGTACTCGTTAGTACTGGCTCGTTCGAGAACGCTCTCAAAACTATATCGACGGCACGTTATATTTCCGCACCGCCGTCTTTCCCGTCCGGGGTATCGACTTTACGTGCATGAAAAAAAAAAAAAAAAAAAAACCGGGTTGAAAACTACAGGGTCGCGCGTATCGGTTTTCCGCGCTGTTCGACGCATCGATATTTCATCGGTCGGATGAAAATGCATTATGCGCGTGACCGCGTGAGCCGCAGCGAACATCTACACCGCAGGAGTGTTCCACTCGTTCCCTCGTAACGTTGTAATAATGCGTACGACCTAACACATAAACGAATCGACGGAAAATCAAATCGGTTCGCCTTGTACGTAACAAGTATACGTCGGGGCTACGTTCTAAAAATCCAGAACGAGTCGTGTTATTAGTGTACCTTTTATATATATAAAAAAAAAAAAAAATAATAATAATAAAACAAACGAACAAACCAATTGTTTTCAAAGTTCGTTTATTATCTCTGTACCAATCGTCCTCCTTGCCAGTCATTTCGTGTACTTTCACGGGCGCTTCCGTGAACTCGTATTCCATCACCGTTTTCTCTACAGACTAACAGAATTTCGAGTAAAGTATTCCAGACTTAGTCTGAATTGAGATGTTTTTCACGGACGTTCGCGGCGTTTGTACATTTAGGTACATTATTGTGTAGACATCGAAAACCGAACCTGCCGTCTAAACGATGTTAAACTCCTCGGAGAACCCAACGAGACAAATGTATTTAGTGTGCACTATAACATTATATTGTTATTTACAAAACTATTGAACTGTACGTAAAATTAACGAAAAAAAAAATATATTTAAAGAAATAAGAAGATGGTTTTTGTTTTTTGTTTTTTTTTTTTCATAAAGTATTTGTCCCGCGCGGCTTTGCCCGTTCCACAATATTTGACCAAAACTAAAAAATCGGACATTTCGTATGGGTGCACTTGTTATCGATGTTTATCGACGGGCATTCGTGTCATCGTTGTATTTTGATTTAATCGTATCATATTATTATTGACTGCCGGTCTATTTTTCAGTAACTAAATTAATACAATAGTAATCAGTAATCACCGTCGGGCGCACGCGATCGTCGTACCGGTGTTGCGGCTAACATTGATTTTTGTATTGTATTTTATTTTTTAATTTTTTTTTTTGTCCAACGGGCAATTGTTGGTTTTTTTTTTCTTTTACTTATTTACCTACTAACGGCCGCAGGCAAAGCATAGAATTTATTATTATATCACATAATAATCACATTTTTTTATTTTATTATTTTTTTTTTTTTTTTATTATTTTTCCTATTTACCAAATAGGCAAAGGTATTATTGTAAACCTATCCGCGTTTGTCGACAACTATAGATTTCAGTCGACACGTATACATATATATACGTAATATTATAACATCGCATTATCAGCGATCTGTTTGAATTGTCTGTACGCCTCAATACGTTACACAATAGGATTAACCCATCTCGTTAATAAACAGTATTCATCTATCGTATCGTTTTTTTTTTTTTTTGTCTATGAATCTGGAGAAAAGAATACTAAAATATGTGTTTAGAACCCTCGCAGGGTGCGTTTTATTTTATCAATCAGTAGGCGAGTTTACAGGACCTCTTCTCTTTTTTAAACGGTAACTCGCCATTCGATACAGTTCTTTACAACCAACTCTATAACCTTCCGCAGTCCTCGTTTTCATGTCCTTGCTAATTTGTCCGGCGAAGAATTGTGAGGTTTCCCGTCAAGTGGTATTTTTACCGCGTAATAAAACTTATATTTCCTTACGCGTCGACGGTTGTTTTTAGTTCCATAATCCTATTTATATTTTCTCAAGTAATTTGGATCAATAAACATTTTTTTATTTTTCGACAATTTTTTGGGATACAACCATTTAAAGTTAATTAAAAAATATGATTTTTTTTTTTTTTTTACATTTTTCAAACAGTTTAAAAATGTTTGTTATTAAGTAGCGTACGCTACTTTATAATTGGATTTTGATCCGTGTTTGTCTATTTGTCCGGCCGTCCATTTCTCTTAAATGATAGTGATTTTCATTAAACGATTTGTTTAGTTGTAAAGAAGGTTGGACCTCCCCATTTATTTCAGTTCCATCAGTGTGAAAAAAAAATTGTTTGAAAGCTGTTGTAACATACTTAACTTTGTAATTTTATGATTTTTCTTTACCTATACATTTTCCCTTTAAGTATACAGTCAAACTTCTCAAATTTCTTCATTGGTTAAGTAACGAATTTAATACCTAGATACCAGTTAACTTCTAATGGCTGTATGTTTAGCGATTTTTTTTTAGATAGAAAAAAAAGTACAAGCCAAAGTTGCTTGAAAAAAGTAGAACTATTTGGTTCTGATTATTAAACGTTTACCATAACATAATATTTCATAAACATATTATTGTTATTGTTTACAGCAAGATATAGATATAAGATAAGACAACTAGGTTTTGTCGCGATAATACAAATATTGCATAATGCATTTTTAACGCGATAAAATATTTTATGCGATTTGTCGGAAAATAACGGATTTTGATAAAAATACCTACAGAAAAACCAAAAAATTACTATAGTTACGTTTTCTATCTAAAACATTATAGATTGAAATATTGTAGGTTTTCAATACAACAACGGGTTAATAAAATACACATTTTTTTTTCGAAATTTAAAACAATCGGATTCGTTTAAAATTATTAACAAACACAAAGTTTTAATTTTGTTTTAATAACTTTAGAATTTCGCTGTAGTAAGTTCCCGGCTTTGATAACAAAATCGTTTAATTTGAAACTATTACAGTATAATTATGCGAAAGATGTTAATAAGATTCAAAAATTGCACGTTACTTTAATTATTATAATTATTTTTTCCGTTTAAAGCAACGAAAGTAATTAAAACTCTTGTAATTGTTTTTAAGGAGATGTACTATGTATAGGTACCTTACCTATCTACTAACCATATTGAATAGACGCGACAGCGAAAACTGATGCGCCACGGGCCACATCATAGCTACAGTATAAATTCTTTACAATTATAAAATTTTATTCTCGCAGTATTTTTTTTAACGAAAAATTGTAATAATATTTACACCTAGGTACACGTATTAATTACAAAACCCGTATGGGTACACTTATACTATTAATGTTGTAAACACTCGTTCAATCGGTAGGCACGGCGCGCACGGGGCCCAGACTTTTATGTGCGTTTCTCTTCGGACAATAATATAGCACGCCTAATGTAATTATCGTTACGGGACGTACGTGCGGTCTGCAGAGATTGCAGCCGTACCAGCCACCGCATATAGCGCCCGTGATGCAGGTAGTCGACGACATTTACGCTGCGGCGAAACCGTTTTACACGATTATAAATCGAAAAACAATAACTTCGGTCCAAGTTCATAAGCCCTTTGTAAAAACGAACCGCATAGAATTGTTGCGATTCGTAACGTTCGGTTGCGCGCGCTGCCGCGAACGTGTACGTACACCACGGTTTTCGTCGACTGGTGCCGTTTTATTCGCGCGGGTTTGCGGGTCTACGAGGTGTGGCTATTAAACAACGAGACTGCTCGCCTGGAGGGCGCCCTAGATGGGCAGTGAAAAAAACGAGTAATGCGTTGGGTATCTAGATATCTTATCTATGCACGTACCGAAACACGTTTTCGTCACTATTACAGTATTTGTGCAGTGGTAGTTTGAAACGAACGTGTTTTTTTCTCGTACCGAAAACCATGTGTGACGAAAAACAGGGGCAACGTATCAATCTCAAATTTCTCGTTAAATTGAAAAAAACCCCGACCGAGTGCTATAAATTGTTGCAAGAGGCCTATGGAGGCAATTCTCTATCTCGTGCACGTGTTTTTGAGCGGTATAAGCGCTTCGGTGAGGGCCGAGAGAGCACTGAAGATGACCAGCGCCCAGGTCGCCCTGTCACTCAATGTCACTCACTGTCGCCCTGTCAGTTTCAACTCCGGAAACAGTGACCAAAATCAACCGAATTATGCGTTCAGATCGTCGAATGAGCATCCGGATGATTGCCGAGGCTGTAAACGCCGATAAAGAAACGGTTAGAAAAATTTTACACGAGGAATTACATACGACAAAAGTCTGTGCGAAGTCGGTGCCAAAAAACCTGACTCCTGACCAAAAGTTCTTGCGTCAACAGGTCTGCTCAGATTTCCTTGAAAAGTTAAAAGAAGATCCCGGACTGATGAAAAACATTAAACTTGCGACGAAACGTGGATTTTTCAATACGATGTTGAAACATAGCGACAATCGATGCATTGGAAGACACCCGAATCGCCCAGAATCAAAAAAGCGAGGATGTCCAAATCAAAATTTAAGGCAATGTCGATCGTTTTTTTTTAACATTAACGGTATCGTGATGGGTTCCAGAGGGTCAGACTGTTAACCAGATTTACTATTTTTTCAGTTTTGGCAACATTGCACGAATGAGTTCGTAAGAAACGGTCGATATTGGAATATGGTTATGGGCACCTGCCCATAACGCGCTGTCTGTGAAACGTTATTTGGCCGCTTAAGGCACTCCAGTGCTCGAACACGCGCCGTACTCTCGCCGGATTTGGCACCGTGCGGCTTTTTGTTTGTTTCCAAAGATAAAATTTGCTTTGAATGGGACCCGATTTGAGTCGATGGAAGCGGTAAAGCAAAAAACGGCAGAGCTCCTAGAGGCCCTCGCCAAAGAAGACTTCCAGCACTGTTTTGATCAATGGAAAAAACGTACGGAAAGGCGTGTGGCGAGGGTAGGGATGCATTTATCCATTTATTTATTTAATTTTTATATATACATTTTGTATTTATATATATATTTACTTTATTTATTTTTTCGTGTTTCAATTACTATGGCCCGGTGCGTTTTCCGGGAACGGTCGAGCCGCTAAACGGGGCCGCGTCCGCTAATGGAATACCAGAATATTGAAATCCGGTTTCCGATTAGAACGGTACCCGCGCGGGCGGCGCGAGCGCGCGTGTAGACGGTACGTTATACAATAATTTACGGCTGGAGAAATGTCCCCGTACACGTTCGGTAATATAGGTGTTCGCCGCGGACCAGGAGAACAGTGCGCGGTGCCACGACGCCGTTGTCTCCCAAACGCGTTTGGACGACACTGGCGGGTGGCGGCGGCGTAAAGACGAGTCACAAAACGGGNNNNCCCCCCCCCCCCCGGGGGCCTCGTTCGGACAGTTGGGACGGGCTCGCGTGTCTGGCGCGCGCGGAACGGAACCCGCGTTCGTCGCACTAACCGGACCCGCGTCCCCGCCACGCCGCGCCCTACGACCGGAACGCGAGTAAAACGTTTCGACGGCGACTTTCCGAAAGACGCGCGCGGCGCCGAGTGCCCCGGGAAAACGGAGATTGTCGGTTGACACGGCGCCGGCGTTCCGGTGTCGTCCGGAACGGAAAACCGCGCCCCGGGTTCGCGGCGCACGGCGTTCGTTGCGTCCGCTCCGAAATGCGACGCGTCGTGTAACGTTCGCGACCGCGTGTTGCCGAACGGAAGTCTGCGGTTATAACAGCGCACGTAACACTTTCCTTAACGCGTCCGCACATTTCTACGTTTATCCGGTTGTTGGAACGTTTCGCGAAATACATTATTATGGTTTTTTAGACGCCCGTAGAGTTTGTGTACGCGCGTGCGCATTGATAAGACCGCGGATTTGAATTTCTCTAAGCCGAATTTTGTCGTTATTTTCATTTGTTTTGACTGTTGTACATCCGCCGGTCATCGAATGTAATTGCGAAAAATATCGAACGGTATTGATATTGTTAACAGGCAGTGGCGCGTGTTGGATTCGGGTATTTTTTTTTTTTTTAATTTCGAGCCATCGACGCGCAGTAACGCGTCATTTTTTACGGTATTTTGAACGAGTTACTAGTTGTGTACGCGTACGATACAATTCTGGAATGTATCAATGGTGTCTTGTATCGAGATACCGAAATGAACGTATCTGTACACCTAGTATCGCGCGTCTAGATACCGATTTCGAAATATCTTGCCCGTTCCCGATTACGGTGCCTGCTGTACCGATGTACTCGTATGTTTGGTTTTTACAATGCTCGCACTACAGCAGTGCAGCGTTGGTACGATATTTTTGAACAGTCGACCGTGCGATTTATAACAATTTATTATTTTCCATCGTTATTTCGCGGTGAAAAATCTATCTTTTTGTTTTCAAATCGACACTGCCGACATTATGACACCGAGAATGAAAAAAAAAAAAAATAATAATAAAAATAAAACCGCCATTATGATATAGGTATAATATTAAACGTCTTTAATAATAAAACGAACATCTCCCGAAAATACTGTTTTTGTAGCCCGTGTAGTAGGTGTAATGACCTGCGTTCTGACACATGTACGCACAATAGTGGTTTTGAATAATTTAGATTTTATCAGAGAAAAAAAAAAAAAAAGCCTATAGGCACCGCAGGTATACTTCGATATTTTGCAAGTGTTATTATTCTATAGTGGTGTGCCGGCGTGTTCGGCCGTTCGGATACGCCGACCCGAGACTGGCCGCGGCAGTTTTTTAATGCACGAAAACCAATTTACTGCAGCATAATAATATTATGTTACGCGTGAGACAGACAGCGAGCAAATTCAATTGTTGCGTTCTTTAAGAGAATGTCACACAATGCGTCATGTTTTTATCCGCGTGTAACGACGTAACGCGTTCTATTCGTTCCCGTGTTGCGAACTAACATATTACACGAGATGAAAATTTAATTTTGTAAATTTTTAGCCTACGGCATTCAAAACGCAAAATAATTTTTGTAGGGGTCTATAGCTACCAGTTGTCTGTGTATAATTTTTAGTATAGCTGCGATTTCTAGGTATGCCGGTTTTATTGAACAATGGCATTGACCACGAGTGTTCGATGTATTGTCGAAAAATCGTAAATGATTGAAATTTGCAAATCTGTTATTGAGAATTTATTAAAACAAAATGGAATTGGTACCGTTCGCGGGTAGGCCATTATTGTAAGTAGGTAGTTGGAAACGTGGGACGTAGAAAACTGCAGGGTGATTTAGTTTATGTTGTGTACGCAACGATAAAAAAAAAAAAGGAACCGGGGTGTCAACTGCGGAACGTGTCGATAAACGTTTCAAATAAAGGGCAGGCGAAAAATCTGCATATCTCGAGGTATGACAAGACAAAATCAGAGCATTTTCACGAACCCTAACAAAAGAATTTGTCGAGAAAAAAACCATATTTGTTAAACTACAATACCTACAGCTTCTCCGTGGTCATAATCAAAATCTAAAACGCATTAAAAAAACGCGTTGTTATCTGACGTACATTTTTCAGGACGTGTAGCTGGAGTTCTTTTTTCTCCTGTTGACAGTAGAAATATAATACACGCGATGGTGAATAATAATTAATAATAAACCAACAAATTAATGAATTTTCGTCGTAACTACCCGACATATAATATGACAGTGGTTTATATTTACTCATACTATAACAAGGGGAAAAAACTACCAATAATCTATAATCTTACCGGATTACCGAGATCCATTCAGAATCGTTTTTTTTTTTTTTATCGCATTGATTGATTATTTATTTCGGTATGCAAACTAAATTACCCTACATATACCTATCACATTTTCCAGTTTGCTATTCATTGTGCAAAGTATGCTTTTATTATAATATTATAATCATTCAATGTTCGATTGAAAAAAAAAAAAGAGGCTGTATATCATAATAAAATAAGTCACTTAATCTTAAACCTAGTATTTTATGCGACACTTGGTTTCTCCTCAAATTCGTTCTTCATAATGTTATAAAATAATATTAAGAATAAGCATAATATTCTTTTCGAGAGAGCTAATAGTTTTATTGGTGGTAAAACATGGTTTTTTTTTAATTTTTCGACGATAAACACGCCTTAAATGTGTTTTATACGACAAAATTTATAAACGTATTTATGTAAAGATTAAAATGAACACGACGTGATAAATAAGGTCCACGCATTTAAAAGCCGAATGTTCGAATAACGTAACTATAATACGTTAAGTATAGTATAATATATTTTCCGAAAAAAGCACAGCGTCTTTGAGTCCTGCGTGGTTTTTCGTAAAGATCCGAGGAGTGTGTTCGATTCACTATTTGAAATGTACACGGTGCAGGTTAAACGTTCGATTTAAAAAAAAATAACATGTTAAAACGGTAGAAGTTTTGTTCGAGGTTCCCGAATTCTGACGCGCAACGGAAGAGGTTTGGATGCAGTAGAATACATTATTATGTTGTTGCTATTTTTTTTTTCTTCCGAGAATTGAATTTAATGCCAAGTAAGTTTTAAATTCGTTTCACGGAAGTACGAATTATAATCTGAAAAAAAAAATGTCGGCAACTATAGTCCGTACATATGTAATTTTTGGCGTATTTTCAATTTTATTTCTCTGTTATTGAAATTGTTTACATTATTTTATGGTAGATACCTTCTCTTTTTTAAATTTTTTTCCGTTTTCAATATGATTGTCTATTGATCAAATTTTGAAAAATCACAACTACAACAGAAGGATATACATAATGAATGTATTGCAGTTAAATTAAATCGGTATTATTGTACGGACAAGACGTTTGGTAAAACAGCAATCTGAATAACGTCTATAACGTTTATAACGTACCGAGGATAGTTTTCGGTATTTTCCTAGTGCATTTGTCCTATACATCCGCTGAGACATCCGGACCTTTGTTTTGTAAAAGCCTTCGTAAGAGCCTAACATGCTGCGAGATCTCGGTACGGATAATATTCAAATTTATAACGACACGTGCCGCCGGGGATTTCATTCACGAGGCGAAAATCCCGGTCAAACATGCATATGGTTATAAGAGATTGTCCACAACATCGGTTATTATACGTGAACGCGTTCGATCGACGACCGCGATACCGTATTACAGTTCTGGTTCTGGACCTTGTAAATTGTGAACGATTTCCGTTTTAGTACGATATGTTTCAATTGCATGTTAAATAATAATAATTAACCGGAAACGGGTTAAATATAATGATAATTGTGCTATAGGTCGGTTCCTTCTGGGAGTTATTCATACAGCGGTGTTCGCGCGACGATGACTCTAAAATAATATGTGAACCCAATTGTTATTGTGTGTGTGTGTGTGTGAATTGCGTTTTCTGTTGGGTTTTTTTTTTTTTTTCTGAGCATTGTTAAATAATTCTTACGCTACCCTAGCCCAAGGAAATTATAAAACACACCATTGTGCAGTTGATATGCCTATCAGTTATATCGTAGTACAGACATAAAAAAAAAAAAAAGTTTCCGGAAATGGCATTGAGCGGAGAATTCCAAAACACACACGCTACAAAGTACAAAGTCATAAAAACAATAACATCTATTACGCCATAGCACGGTGGGCCAGAATCAGTTGGGACGAAAACATTTGTCCGAGTATTTCACTCGATTTGGGTTTATATAAGTCTTGGAAGTAGATATTTAAAAATCAAAATCAAAAACTAGTTACTCATTAGCTATTGCTTCCATTTGTGCGTTTTTTTTTTTTTTTTTTAATACAATCGTATACACATATAAATAAAACTAAAGTGTTTGTCCGTCCGAACGAATTTCCAAGGAACTTTCACTGTAAGATAGAGTATTTTCCCGAGTATAATAAAAAATATTTTTATCCCAACATTCTAATCTAATATAAACCAAAAAAAAAAAAAAAAAACATAAGACTTTTATTAAACTATTTAATACGTTGATAACTATAGGCTGACGATATCTTTTTTTTATCAATCCATTAATGTAATTAAATATTCCAGTTGAATTTGAAACCCCGGTGTGCACCGGTCAATTTGAATAGATCAATAACATAAGAAAAAACTACAATAAACGTTCACTAGCATTAATAATAAAATAGAATACTTCAGAAAAAAATAAAATATTATTATTATTACTTTACTAATCGGCGAATTCAACGACGCCATTTCGTAGTTTAATGTCTAAATTATGTGATAAAAGAGTAATGTACGAGTGCAAATAATGTGAGAAAAAACAGAAAGTTAATAATACGCATATTTATAACTTCTTATCCGGTATATTAATCGTTAATTTTACGATATCATATAATGGACTACTTAGGTATATCCCCCACTACAATCAGAGTGTAATAACGGATTATCTATTTTTTAAACATCGAATTATACATGTTCGTCCCGTTCTGAACTTACTCTGGTCCGCTAAGCAGTAGCTTTAGCACGCTAGGTTTGACTACGACGTTACAAGAGAAAGAGAAATAGAAGAAGCTATTCGTTTTTTATTAAGACGAATTTCTTTTTTGTTCGGAAAATATTTCTGTTACGTAACAATGCGTAACAATAAAAATATATTGTTCTCATCGTATGCCTACTTAAAATATGTTTTGGCTGGGTGGTACTGAATTCGAATATTTTTCTCATAAGTTAAAAAAAAAACGGCAACAAATGGCAGTACGTGAGTTTTTTTTTTTTTTTTAATTGATTTTCGAGACAACTATACTCCCGTATTATATTTTAATAAGGGAAAAGTTAAAACGCGATTAATACAAGAATCGATTTTTGATCGCAATGATTTACCGTCACTTTGGGTAAATAAATACAATTACCGTACATCTTACAGATATCATCCACACTTCTCGTCTGCAACACGCGACATACTCTGGCGCTGAGCAATGAGTACGTCCGGTTTTTGTCAAAATGTATTAAAATTATATTGGTACCTCCTAAATGTATAATACTGTGTCGGAGAAATATTACGAAAACGAATTATTACGCATATTTGTTATTGGCGATTGAACATTATAAAAACACAATAAGCGATATATTTGGTCCGGGGTAAGAAGGGCTTAATTTAATGTTTGTAATTTTTTTTTTTTTTTACCTTCCATAACGACATAATATAATTTTAAAATATTCGTACATAAAGTTTATCAAAAAACAAAATAGTCACGCGTCTATTGTATGTAATAATATAATATGTAATATATTTATAGATAAATAATGGTAATGCGTAGGTGTGGGGTATTTGTAGACAACATCTGAACGTGCTTGGCTTGAAAAGCGAAACGTGATCTTTTGGACTTATTATTACCGTCGTCGTAGTCGTCGTCGTTTTCGTATAAACGGATCAATTGGGTCATTTTTGTTTTGCGTTTTTCGTTACGATTTTGTCGATTTATTGTTATTACCGCCTTATTTTTTTAATTTTTTTTTATTGTATACATAATATTATGGTCAGGTATTTGTGCTATATAGTCGGACGAGTTTGAACAATAATTCCTATATCTGTCTACTATATGGCTACATACTGTATTACAGCGGAGATTGGCTAAAAGTGCATCGATGTTTTTATTCAATACAACGGCGTTTTAAAAATCGATTGATGGCTGTCGGTATTTCTGAAAATTTTGTATTTTCGTTTTCATCTCCCGAGCGTGGCGTGGAATGTATTGGGTGGTTAAGTGTGATGAGTGTTTATTTATTTTTTTTTTTTTCTGTCTGTGTCCTGTGAACACCTTTTCCAAATCTTGCTCCAATCAAAAAATAACAAAACAAACGTTTTTGTTACGTTTTGGATCTAGTTGGTGTATTCAAAGGTTATTTCTTTGATTTTTCAAGTGGTTTTCATAATAATTGGGAAAAACCGTTGAATTAATGGTCACAAGCTTAGGAAAAATGACCAAATACACATTTACGGTCTATATTCGGATAAAAATATCCGTATAGGTATACTATTTTCAAAGAGTGTTTTAATATTGTATAGTATAGAAAAGTCAAATATTATTTGATTTTCATGCCCAACACGTTATTCAACAGGTGTTTGATGTTCCTTTTTCATGCGGTTTTAGGAAAACGGCGAAGAATATCCAAAAGTGTCTTCTCTAAAGGTAGTAGAAGATTGAAAATCCTACAAAAAGCTCAAATGAAGCCGTCGATCCGAACACGCCTTTTTGGCAAAAAATGGCCAATTTTGTTCAATAACTCGGATAGCGGTCACAGGGTATCACGAATAGAGGGTTGCTAAACGGACGTCTGTCATTTAACAGGTGTTTGATCGTCCTTTATTTTTTTTCCGTTTTCAGGAAAACGACGAAGAACACCCAAAAGTGTCTTCTTTTTAAGATTGTAGAAGATTGAAAATCTTACAAAAAAGTTAGAATGCAGCTTTAGATTAACGCTGTAGTCTCGATAAAAATGGGAGTTTACATCATAGTAAAATAAATTCACTCCTCGCATCTATCAGAATCTCAGGAACAAAATTAATATTCGTTAAAATTGCAATATTATTGTTTATGATTATCATAATATTCCTGACTAGAATTACAATAATAATTGTTACCTTCTAAAATAATTTTCATACCACGAAATACGTAAAAAAAAAAAAAACAAAAGAAAGCTGATACTGGGGATGGGGCCACTGTTTTAGGAGAAGTTGGAAAGATTGGGTACATAAGGTTATTTCATTTATATCTGTAAGCAATGGTTTATCCATTGCTTACGAAATAACGATTCTGAGCGGAGTTCAGTTGATAGTGATACTTTGTTAACAATATATATTTCATTTTATAGTAAAAAAAAAAAAAAAAAAAAATAAATTTAACATCTTTGTAAAACCATAAGCTTCTTCGCTCCACTCTGAATCTAAAATAAAACCGTTCAAGTGGATATTATAATTCAAAGAGCATAGGTAGTGTTATTTAGCCTTTTACGACCACGGAGTTTTCGTACAAAAGAGAAAAATAGCTGTTCTCAGTCAACGGTAGTTTACGACACAAAGCTCCGTAAATACTTACTACTTACCTACGTAATACTGAAATCGTATTATTATGTAGTATAGCCAGTATGGGTATATCAACCGTATCAATCATTCAAGGTTATTACTGCGGTATAGCAATAATTTGTTGGTGTATGTTATTACGTGTATGTAAACTCTTATAAAACTAACCTTTTCGATATTAGCATGGTATTATATACCCAGAGCAGTAAACTGTAACGAATTTATTTAACAAGCTCTCTCTCCTCCTGTACAAAATTATAACAATAATAATTAGTGATTATTAATTAATATTATATATTCTAAACGGTTCGGCGGTAACTATGCTGGTAGTTAAGTAACCTGTACAGAAACAACAGGTTGATATATGTATTTAGGTACTTTAATTTAGTTTGAAATCTCTCCTTGACGGTCTTATTGGACATCGGGTTAGACAAGTCTACGCTTTATATTATATTACCTTATTCGCGAGAAAAAAAAATGTTTAAGGATTGTGATCGATTTTTGACTCACATCCCGTGGTCTGGTTTACTTGTAACTTGCACTCATATCCACGATGTTAATACGTCAAAAAACATATTTTCCGTTTTAAAGAACCGTGAAACGGTTTTCAGCGTTTTCACTCTAAATGGCAATTGAGGAAATTAGAAAAAAAAAAAAAAAAATCAGATTCCGCATAAAACGTTAAAACATCCTATGCTTAAATTTAAGCACCTACTAAACCGTTACTCAATTTCGATGCTGTCAACCTGTCATGATTCACATTATATTTATAGGAACGTGAAGAAATACTTTATTAACATTTTTCATTATTATTTACTTTTAATAGGTATATACGTTTTATTTAAAATATTTATTTTTTTATTCCTGTAAATCTTTTTGCGTTGATAGTGTTTACTGAGTAGATTATGCTTGTTTATAATGTTTCGGAAAGGTTATTTTTGTAGTAGTGTACACGTGGTATGCCGATGCCACAGAAAAGTATTATTAAGTTTTTACGACGGCTAATCTTCAAAAATCAATACAAACGAAATAAATGCATTACAAAAATAATATCCTAAGTGCTTAACACCATTTCCGCAGTAGGAACCCATAGTCCATACTCTACCTAGTTGTATTTTATAGGTTCTGGGTGTGGGGGCGAACGTATAGGTATTGGTTTTGCCGAGATGTATTTTTGTTTCTGTCTGTAAGCAACTTTTCAACCAAAAACCTCTAATAAACTAATTTAAACGGCCGGTTAAAAAACCAAAAACTTTTTTATAATGTCTGTAGTCATATTATCTAGCTTGAGCCACAGTGTTACACAGAGTCTACAGTTATCATTAATTTTATTTGATTGAAACAAACGTTAATGACTTGTACGGCGTTTATGCCGTGTTTACCGTTTGTTATTAACGTTATACAAACAATGTGGTACGATAAATGCAGTAATCAAAAGTTCTGAGCGAAGTTCGGATAAACCCGTTTTGAAATGCCGTGACTGTAACAATTATCGTTAACATTTGAACTTAAAAGCGTATAGAAAAGAAAAAAAAATACCTATACATAACGCTCAACATTCTGTTTTACCGCTGAATATAAATTATGTCGAATCTCGAGTAAAATGTTCAAACATGTCAACCTCGTTCATAATAATTTCATCCACGTAAAACCAAATAAAAACTAAACAACCGCGGCCACAAAGAGAGCAAAAAGGGCCCCCTGGGAATTTTTAAAACTGTATGTAATTTAATATCACGCATATGACATACCATAAAGTTAAATAAAAAAGAAATAAAAAAAAGAACCAAATACTTCGCACGACGGGTGGGCCACTGTTGCAGGTGAGAAGTTGGAAAGGTAGGATATAGAGAGAAATTTAATGTATTGAAATGATTCCAAACGAAGTTTTATTAGACATGTTTTAAAAGGCAGTAATATTTAAGATTTTCGTCAACATTTGATATTAAAATACTAAATTAAATTCTTTCTTGTTGACCACTAAGTGTAACTTATAATGAACCTTTTATTCAATTTTGAAGCATTTCTGTTTGGTTTGACAATTATATCTACTATCCACCGAATAACAATTACGAAAAAACTCGCAAAATTTTAAAGGTCTATAAATAGCTCAGAAATGGTTCCAATATTTTGAAAATCCTACCACGCCTAGAAAAAGCTAATAAGAGTTTTATGTCCAAATTTAGTCTGAACATGTTAGAACATTTTGAACTGAATTAAAACAAAAAAACAAAATTGAAAATAATAAAATCATTATTTTTGTTTATTTTCCCATTGTACTACGTTTTTTCCCAATTATTATGAAAACTGATTAGAAAATTAAAAAATGACTCCTTAGCTTAAGTACCAACTAGATAAACTCTCCTTTCAGAAAAGGTGCTAAGGAGTAAGATTTCGGTAGAATTTATGTACATAGAATAAAAAAAAAAAAAAAAAAAAAAAATAAAGTTTTCTATTCGACTTTGAGCAATGCTACTATGTTCGCACATCATTCCGTGACTCAAATATGCATTGGTTTGGATGACTTTTCGTTCGAACGAGTACGAATAGGTACTTTCCCACTTAAATTTGATCAAAATCTGGTTTTGGACTTCGAATACATAGGGTATCTATTGTAATAATGCGGGTATTGTTATAATGTAATATTAATGTTTATTTACTTTATATGTACACATTATTCGTTTTGTGCTCTGCAGGATTTGGACTTGAGGCCACAGTATTATAATTTATTCAGCTAACATGGTCTGGGTGATCATTATGATATGAAATCGGCCACTATCAACTACACCGCCTGTAATGAACGCGAATAAAACCGTCCTTGATCCTTGAGTAGGGTGTCAACACGATGAAGCCATTTCATTTGATGAAGATTAGTGTCGCTGTAACAATATTGTTACCTATATTTTATTTTTTTTATACATGAAATGGGGCTTGTACACCTAGCAACAAATCTGATTAAAAACTCAAGACAACAATTGAAAACTAATAAAGCTTATAAGAGCTATCTTGCACAAGATTTATATATTGAGAAAAGAGGGGTCTTCATTTTCCAAATTCACTGTTCCATTTATCAGTTCATTTGATATATATATTTGTTGAGTGCGGAAGAATGCGAAAAGGAGTTTTATGACGAGCGTGACGTGAAGGAATTTTAAAATTAACACGCGAAAGTAGAGAGAGAGAGAATCGATAATTAAAGATACGCGATTTGTGAGGAGGTTAATGATATGAGAGTAATGACAGTCGGTTAAGGAAGATATTCTAAGATAATTAGGAGGTTTAGCGAAGAAATGGGAATAATCATGCGGAAGACGGGGAAATTTTGAGGTGTAACTTGTATAAGTGAGAAACATCCACTGGACACATTCTAGTTGACGACTTGAACCCCCGCAATGAGGATATCAAACCATAGAGCTGTAGGTATTCAAGAATAGGCCTGATGAGTGCTCAATAAAGCAAAATTTTAGTAAGTATGAGACATGAATAGTGAAGAACGAGGAATAAACCACATGTAGTGATAAACCATAGTCCATATGTATCGCTAATACCGAGTAAATTAAAGTCATAACATAAAATAGAAATATGGCCTGGATGCTGAAGGAGAAAATTCTCAAAACCGACATGTAACATTCATGTTAATGAAGGGGGACTGGGACGGATATAAACACCACTAATTAACATTTTTCAAGACTAAATTGAAGCTCTCGGTATAATATTATAATTTTATTAGTCGTCTAATTTTTAGGTTTTTTGTGTTGTTTCTAATAATTCAAGGTTAAAATACACCTAGTGAATAAATTATAATCATATTATTTCATTACCGTATTAATTAATTATACTATTTGTAAACAGTTTCACTATTGTTTTAATGAATTTTAAAAATTATAAACATTGTATAGATTGATATTTACACAATTTATTCTCAAACGTTTTTTTTTTTTTTTTATTAAATGGTTGAATGGAAGTTTGATACTTAATACATTTTTCATAATACCGTCAACATATTATACATTTTATTACACTACCATTGATTGTAAAAAAAAAATGGTGTCATTAAAGAAACAGAGTAATACATAATTTCTTAATCATAACAAAACGTACAGAAATATCATGACCAAAGCTGTAACTTTATTATTATTTTTTTTTTTTGTTACATCATATAAGAAAACGGATTATGTCAAAATTAGTTATGTAAAATCTTATTTATTATACCTAGGCGTTTAAATGGTTAGAATATATAAAAGCAAAATTTCATGGATTCTCTGTATTGATGTTTTTATTTTTATTAATATCCTGGTCAATCTGGTCTGAATTAAATATTTGTACTTAAAATATGACTTTTTAGTGTTGATAATATGTTACTGTAATTTTGTTCTTAGGTATATTTTCATGTGAAGACAAATTTTTTTTTAGTCAAATGTTGAACTGATTGTTATCTACCTACTTTAAATATTGTATTATGTATAATAGTTATAATAGTAAACAAATAACTAAAAAAATAATTAAATGATTTTTGCTTTTTTTTTTGAAAACTGAACACACGTGTTTATATATTTTAAAAGTTTGAAGGCCATATTGTATTGCATATTTTTTTTTTTTGTATATAATTGCATGTACACTAAATATCTGTCAGGCTCACTTAACAGTTTTCATAATAGAAAATTATGAAATTTAAAATATAATCATTATTATCAATATATTGTGGTTGTAAAATTTATGACTGCCAAGTACAACATTTAAAAATATATATATATAATTAATACATTGCGTTGAAAAACAATTGTTTTGTTTTAAATAAGTTTTGCATAAAGTTTCTTTATGAGTTGTCCTTTTGTAAGTAATTTTAACATACATTAATAGTGGGGATTTTTCTGGTATGAGTTTATTTACAAACTACAAAAGTATACAAATAACGCATGTCTAGAGTTTCTCTCCAGTATGAATTATATGACATTTGTTAAAATATATTCTTTAGTGAATAATTCATCATATACATTTAAAAAAAATCTGAATATCTTTGTGCATTTTGAAATGTTCTATTAAATACTTAACAGGACAAAAACTTCAGTCTCAAAAATTATTTTATGCACTTTTAAATTATCTATTAAAAGAAATTCTTGCTTACATTTGTGTCATTTCCTTCTCGTGTAAACCAACAAATGTGTACTCAACTTAAATTTTATCATTAACAATTTCATGCACACCTCACATTTCTGAGGTTTGACTAAAAAAACTTATTAATTATACGGTTAAATTGGCCAATTCAGAGAATCACTTTACAATAGGTACTATTATGTAATTTTAATGTTGCCATGAAAATATTTTTACTAACATAATTTTATTTCATTTTACACTTAAGTAGGTTTATAAGAATAGCATTCAAACAATTTATTTTTATTTACAGTTTTACCAATAGTTGTATGTGGTATTTTTTTCCAAAAGCTATATTATGCAGTGAAAATGGGTAAAAACAGAAAATCTGACCAGGGATTATTTACAGTCGAGGATATAAAAAACAAATATGTAAGATGAAAACCACGTTCACTTCTTTGAAAAAAGAAAATATGAATTTTTATTATTGCATATTATTGAAAATATGAGCGAATGCAAAATTTAAAGTTCATCAGACCATGGTAAGTATCTAGGTCAAAATCAATTACAATTTTTCAATTTTCTCTTTATGAAGAAATTAATATCAAGCATGGTAAAAATAAAACAAAAAAGCATTAATGCATTTAATTTTTACAATTTTTTCAATTATATTGTGTTAATAATTTAAAATTGTATAATTATTATTTATTGTAGTGATTATATTATTTGTATTAAATAGAATAGAAATAAGTATATTTATAGAAAAAAGTTTAAAATTAAGTAAGTAATACCATAATTGTTTTCAAATTGAAAATAAATAGTTTTACACGAGTTTGAATTCACTTGCTTTGTATTATAATACAGCATCTGAGTATTAATATGTTTTATCCATGAAGTAAGGTAATCCATGATTAGCTAAACGTTTGGTCAAAACTTCCACTCCGGTATCAGTTACTAATAACGTTTGTTCAAACTGAGCCGATAACAATCCATCTACAGTCACGGCTGTCCAATTATCTGGCCAACACCTGTCTCGCCAACTTCCTGTAATCATTGAATACAAATATTTACAATGTATAGGTATTACATATTTATTCAAAAAATCAATTATAGTCAGTAACATTTTATTATTTTATGATAATATTATAAATCGACAAAGGAATTTGCTTTAACAATATACATTGATTGTTTCTATTTTTTCATGTTATTTAATAGTTCCATCGTTAATGTAAGTAATTCAAGTGTATAAAGTTCATTGACCTTGGATCATCAGAATTATATATTTAATTTAATATTATGTTTTTTCGTAATGGAAAATTAATTTCACATAACCTTTTTTGTTCTAAATCTACTAAATAATTACTATGGTATACTGTAGAGCCACTGTATTCTCATAATATTTTGTAACTGTGTAACTTATCTCAATATTTATTTATGACTTAAAATTAACTGATAGAATATAAGTTATGAAAAATATAAAAATAAAATGTGTTACACTGTCAACATTGTAAAACTGATTATATATGTAAAAAAATCCATATTAGTTATGATATTGAATTGGGTTTAGTTTACAAATTCTTTAAAATCAGTTTAAATGAAAAATGATAATGTTGAATATGGTTTGAAAACATTTTGAGCAAAATATTATTTTCACATCCAATTACTATAACCAGTTCATTTTATTAATATTTGAAACTATAAAACACTCAATGGAAAATTTCGTAAAAGATAATATGCCTTTATCAACAATATAATTTTTATAACTTACCTTGAGATATCATAGGCTCAATCGTGAAGGTATGTCCAGGTTTCATTACACCGACAGCTTTGTTTTCTATTGCATGAAAAATTGTAAATTAATTCAATTTTATAACATTTAAAATATTATTTATTTGAAACTTACTAGCATAATGTGGCACTCCGGGAGATGTATGAAATAATTTATGAATACCATGACCGCAATAACTTCTTACAACAGAAAATCCATTAGTTTGAGCATGTTTTTGTATAATATTACCAAGCTCTCGATATTTTTCACCAGGTTGAACTTATTTTCAAACAAACATTTTCAACAAATTAAAAAATATCTTTGGTCTTGAATGAAATAGTATTATTTTACCTGCATTTATGGATTTTTCTAAACATTCCCATGTAACATTAACCAATTTGTTTGCAACCTTCGATACATTTCCAATAAAAAACGTTTCGTTTAAATCACCATGATATCCTCGATGACACACAGTTACATCAACTGTAAAATTAAATACATATTTATTATTTAGACATATTAATAAGTAGAAAAAATAAATATATAATGTATAAGTAAATATTGAACCATTGCAAATATCTCCATCAATTAATGCTCTCATGTCGGGTATTCCGTGACATATAACTTCGTTTATAGATGTACAACATGATTTTGGATATTTATAATAATTTAATGGCGAAGGATAACATTCTCGTTCAATAGATGCTTCATGTACAACTCTATCAATTTCGTCCGAAATTACTCCAACACCAATCATCGATGCTACTTCATCTAAGACTTCGCGGCCAAGCTACAAAAAATAAATAAATAAATATAAAAATACACATAATATCAATACTTATATTTTAAATTATATTAAATAAATATCATAAAATATTTTTTTAACTTCATAATACAATATATTTTCTTTAACAATACCTTGCAAGCAACTCTCATTTCTTCTTGTTCTTCATCATTCAACACTTTGATGTGTGATGATAATTTTACCGATTGTTCACTTAATGGTATGCCATCTGGGTGATCCGCATAATCAGGTCTTTGTATATGATCAGGAACAGTGCGAAGAGGAGTTTTTTTATGGGGTCGCAATGGTCCTATAATTAAAAAATATAGAATTCAATGTCATAGGTGGTAAAATATTACAGGCTATTTCACTAATTATTTTATGTGAAAAAGAGAAAGTGTTAAGCAGATAAGGGAGTTTAATGTAATTGTAGAGATATAAAAAGTATCAAAGTTTTAAAGAAATAATATTTATGAATCACAGTATGAAGCTATGGGGAAAAATTATAGAAAAGAGAATTAGAAGTGAGGCATTAATATCTAAAATCGGTTTTGTTTAATACCAGGGAAATCAACGTTAGAATGTGATTTGTTTATGTGAAACAGATTGTACTCAAGTATACAGAGAAAAAGAAAAACCCATGTATGGCTTTCATAGATTTAGAGAACAGTGTCGAGAGAGGTTCTGATGAGATAAAGAGTTTTGAAATTCTATAATAGTTTGATAGAAGATATATATGAAGGTTGAAATACGAAGGTAATAAATGTGTATTGAATAACAGAAGATTTAAGGGTTGGAATAAATGTGTATTAGGAATCGATTTCGAGCCATAATTTCTTTGTAAAATTTGTTGTATGAAGTTATGAAGAAAATACAAGGTAATATGGTGTATGATGTTTATGTATGATATAGTTTAGTTTGATAGGAAAATATCTGGAAGAAGTTAACAATATTCTTGAGGAATGGAGAGTAGCACTTAAAGGAAATTAATTAAGGGTAAGTAGAAATAAAACAGATATGATAATGAATGAGTACATACATGATAGTTTAGGCGTGGCTTCAATAGTAGACAAAATTAGAAAAAATTGATCAAGATAATTTGGACATATTATGAGAGGAATCAGAAGCAGTACGAATTGTAATGCAAATAAACATAGGAGAAAAGATGGAGAGGTGGTTGGATACGATTGATAATGATTTGAGAACAGCCTGTATATACGAGAACAATATGGGGGATCAGGTCAAATGGAAATTTAGAATGAGGTTGGTCGACTTCAAATAGGATGAAGGCAAGGAGAAGAAGAAGACTACTAAAATAAAAGTATTCAACCTCACTTGTGTAGAGAAGTTATAAAAACAATAAATAATAGTATTTATAATTAAGAATTTGATATCATAATATTTTGGTTTACCTGTAAATGCATAATCTGGCCACGGATTGTACGGTTCAGTAATTCCGTTTGTAGTTTCTGCAATAAAATTTTAAATACTTATTAACACCAGTTTATTTTGGATAGGACACATTCTGTTCAATGTTAATAATAATTATTTAATATACCTACATAAATATAAAAATAAAATAAATAAATGAATAAATGCATTGCCCAGAGTATAATATGACCGGTTTCGAATTAAAAATTTATCATAAGATATATAACAGTCAAAATGTAAAATACGACTCTGTGATATACCTGATGATGAATTTTTAATTCGAAACCGGTCATATAATAAACTTATCATAATACTCCAGGCGACGCATTCATTCATTTTTATATAAAAATGTTTTTATTTTATTATTTTATTAATTTTTATTGAATATATTACTTAGACCGGATTTTAAGAATATTAATTTATTTTAAATACTCAATATTTAAAATGTGAAGATCTTAAAATTAATTTAATACTTGAATACAAATAGCATTAATACCTTCACAGCAAAAACTAAAATAAAACCAATAACATTGTATACTTAATATATTAAAAAAATAAAAAAAAAGATATTTAACTTACGGCCAACCTTATGAAGAGTCTTATGTATAGACCAATTGCCTTTAAAACATTCCTAAAACCAAAATAAAATAAACATTTTAATCACATTTTAATTAGTATCAATAAAATAATCATATACCTAGGTAGGTAACAGGATTGTTATAGATTTTAACCTCGATAAAAACAAAAGATTATGAAAGTGTTGCTTAGGCCAAATTTTATTGGTTTAAAAATAGAAATTATAATTCCACCCATTTGATCTTTAATTTGTTCTAATAAATCTGATCTATACTATATGTACTATCTTTACTATATGTAAAACACAGTAGATTAAAAATCCCGTGTAATATTTTGGTTGCCATTTAAATTAACTTGATATACATTTTTACAAAGATGAAGTATCTTTGAGTTGAATTTTTTTGACAAGATAATAGAAAACTCTAAATGACAAACCCTTGGAAAATGAAGACCCCCCTCTCCACAGTATGCAGAATGTCCGACAGTGTTATCCGAATGCTAATAACTGTGTCAATGTTCATATTTTTTTATTAATTGGGTTTTGAATCGGTGGAACACAAAACGCCGAGAAAAATTAATTTTTATTTACATCCCTTAACCACTGAAAAAAAAGGTAATTTTTTATTTTTTCACTTTTAAACATTTTCAAAATATACCATTCTAAAAATCTGAATGTATCGTACATCAATATCCGATTAATAGTTTCTTAGTAATAGCCGTTTTAATATCAACAACATTTATTATCTTGTAAAACGACAATAATTCGATATCGCGTAACGTGGTAGTATTGTTTTTCACGTCTTTCTCTAGATATTAAAATGACTACCATTGAAAAACTACTGATCAGATATGAATGTATGGTACATTAGAATTTTTCAAATAACGTAATTTACAAATTGGCTATTGAAAAACTAAACAAATATTGACATAGTTATTAGCATTCGGATAACACTGTAGTACATCCTGAATGCTGTATATATATATATGAATTTAAAATCTTCATTAGCAAATGCAGACTGGCTTCCAAAACAAATCAATCGTCTATATAGGTCAGAGTCTAGGTATTTCGGGGAGACGGATTAACTCGCAGTACAGAACGACACAGTGAAAGAGGACACGAATTACGAACGTTTGGAACTAATACGCGGTTGTTGAAATTGGCCGGTACCTGAGAGCAAAAGTAGGAACCGGCAATGCCGAGTTTGATGCACGTGGGACATTGGAGATTCGCTGGTAAGCTGCAGCCAGCCGTTTCGCAAGTTCGATTCGCCAACGACGTCGACATTTTCCCGGGTGAATAATCAAATGCACTTCTTCCGACACGGCTGCTGATCCTCCGCTTAAACTATCGCGGAAACATTTTCGCGTTTATTACGAAGGAATTCGGAGGACACTGGGGCAGTGAAAAAAAAAAAATAATTATCACAAGCGTCAAGCACATGATATTTGTACTATCAGTACCTACCCTGAACAGTCTACACCGTGGTATAATCATGGTATTTACACGGTCTGTATTTCCGGGATTTCGTTCAACTGTCAGTAGATAAGAAATACGCTATTATCTACGTACTGGTAACCGCGGTACTGCGCGATTGCCGCAACGCGAAATTCGTTATCAAATCAAAGCTACCATCAGTCAGCTGATGTTGTACGCCGTTTACCGTCTCATTCGTCATCGTTATCAATATTTCTCTCGAAAGTGGTGGGTTTTTTTCGCTATCGCTTTTTACTGTGTTATGTTTTTATTCGAGGCCCGTGAGCAATCAATCACACTTTAGACGTTAAAAAGTTATCAATCAACCTGCGTACGGATCGTTCCTCACGTAGACACTAGACTCCAGTTGTTCCTGGTCCCCGTCGACAGCAACAACTGTTTTTGTTTTTCACTTGATTTTTACCGTTTTGCCACCAAACACAATGAATTTCGTCCCGAGGTTCGGAAGAAACATCAAGTCTGGATTGTTCAACTTTACCAGAAACCCGGCTAGAAAGTATACTACTCCCAGCACAACGTCCACGTCCAGCATTCCGCCGATCGAACCGCCGAATCCAAGTAATTTTACTACGCAATAGATTATCGATAAGCCGAACTACGGTTTTTCAGCAGTAAATAAATACAACGCGAGTTGACCGCGACTATTGACCGATAAAGGGCACACCGCCAGATTACGACCCGCACACCTAACCAACACACGGCGCGCGCGTGTCGGGCCGCGAAAACAGTTCACGGCGAAAGCGCGACATAACAATAACGGTACGCGTCCGCAGAGCCGCGGAGCGGTTCGGAAGACCCGTACAGACGGGGCGAGGGCGCGCGCGTACGATTCTGGCCGTCGGGTAAACGTAGGGAACCGGTGGTTTTGCGGCGGCGTGTACGGCAGACGAAAACGTACGCGTCCGCCGGCCGCGCGAAAAGCTCGGACGGAGCGCGCGCTTATTGACAAACGGCCCGTGCCGCAGCCGCGGAGACCGTACCGGCGCGGGCACAGTTGTGTCCGAACGCGGCCGGAATGTCGTTTTCGATTCAAACCCGTTAACGGAACGCCGACACCCGGAACGCCGACACCCGAGACCGTTGCAGTATTGCGCAATAATAGCAAAATATTGTCGCGATTGCGCCGTGTTGGACCCGCGAGATGTGCGTTATTTCACACCACGCGTTTCGATACGTTTACCGTCTACGCGCGGTTTTTTTTTTTTTTTTCAAATATGTTTTCGAGACCTCGAAACACAATAATCGATAGCCGTTCCTGGGGCGAATAATAACGCTGTAGTCCCGCGTAACGTCCTTGTGAAATGCTCGTTTTGCGTACCGTATTTTGTCGAAACGTTGTCACGCGAAACGATGTTCCGGGGCCGACGGGACTCGGGTTGAACTGAATTTTTTTTCCGGGATGTAGGCGGCTTCAAAATGCACATCTCGAGTCTGTTTTCAGAATGTTCACCCTTGCCCGCAATAAAACGTGCTTTTTTATCAATCGGAAACGACCATTTTTTCCCACAAGGTTCGAATGGTTTTCGTTTTCATCAAACGACTTTTGATTCTGACACATTTTAATTCTATGTCGAAAACCGCTCGAGTTATTGTGGCCCACTACGAAAACGGGATTGTATGGAAAAGTATGACTTTTTTCCCCTCGATTTTCCAAACAATCGAAAACTTCTGTTATTATTACACGCGTACGTGTAGTTTTGTATGATCATTTTTACTTATAATTTCCCTTATCTCCCCTTAACACATCAGTGAAATCACTTAAGAGGACGCCGGACTTCGTCAGAGCCATAATAAAAAAGTAGTTAAACCATTAACAATACAAACGCACCCGATCAATAGTTTTATGGCAATAACCGTTGAAATTTCTAAATAAGGGGTTCAAAAAAAAAAAAAAAAAAATGTCCAATTTGTGACCGGGTGTGGCTAGTATTATACGTTACGCGGCGAGGAATAGCAATCGCCTAGCCAGGATTTATCAATGTGTGGGGGGAGGTGGGTCCGAGAAATTTGACGTGCCTATATGACCTACTTAAACTTACCTATAGTTGAAAAAAAAAAAAACTCAACGGGTAGGGGCTACAACGCCCGAAACTCCCCTGGCTACTACGCCACCGAACGTAGCGCTGCAACGTAAATGTAATATTAATACCTCCCCTCAAGAAATTAAAAACGGCAATTGCACCGAAACTGTTCATCGGGTACGCGTGTTACGTGCATGTGCATGCGTACCGTTGTTTGTTGTGATCGATTAGAATAATATTATCTGTTTCGAGGTGGCCACCCTTCGGACCCTTCGAACGTCGAACAAATAAAATGTTCGCTCGGGCTTACGGTTAAGAGGTGAAAACACAAATTGTATTTTTTACTCCGAATGTATTGTTGTTGTTATTGTGTCTCCGCAATAATAATAATAACAACAAAATTCGAATCGTAACGGAGATAACTTTATCAGCGCGGGCGAAACACGTCGCGGTACACTCCGTAATGTATAATATGTATACGGCTATAGTAGACAATTTTTAATTTCGTAACGAATACCATTATTTACGACACCGTTATTTGCACTCCCGTTTGAAGACGGATTATAATCGTATAAACAGTAACGGCATCCCCGACGGCATGGCGTACACCTAATAACAGTAACAATAATACGTCGTTATCGGTTTAGATAAAAATTAATAATATTATTATCGTATCGTTTATCGGGTACCCTAAACAACGTTCGAAAAAAAAAAAATAGACGTGTAAATTGTCGTAAAAAAAAAACCGAACAATATGTGATTGCGTTTCTCCGTTTCGTTTAAAATCCATTTATTGTACTATTACTGTGACGATTGTGTTACAAAATAATATTATTACGAGACCATCTCAAGTGCTATTGTGTAACAATAATAATTATCGTAATTATAGACTAAATTAACGTTTTTTTTTTTTTTTTAATTTTTTTATAATGTCTCTAGTACAACACAAATCTATTTCGATTCCCGTAATTATAGTTTTCGTTTTATCTGTTTTTCTCTGTTCGCTATAAATGTCTTATACGAAAGTAATAAAACAAAATTAGAATCGCACTACGACCCGCAGACCGTACCTAGTAAATAACATTATTATCGAATTTAATGCGCTGTGACCGCGAGCGCAACAATATCAATAATCCGACGTTTTTGTTGTAAATTGATATTATACCGAAACGTTTAACATCGGCTGTAGGCGTTAAATATTGATTTTAAAATATTCTATCGAATGGCGTTGGCTACGAAATCGACACGGAAAACAGCGAAGACCGAGCGGACCGCGTGATATTATATAGCGACACAGGAACCTCGCGTATAATTGCAATTGAAATTACGGGCGTTTGGAACCGACAGTTTAAAGCGTTTCGAGTTTAAATCGGAACACGGTTTAAAAAGAAGACAATTTTCGAGGGAACAGCTTTTCCCCTGTTAATATTGCCGATCGAAAAGTCACAATCGTGTTCGATTTCATAAAATATAATATCAGTTCGGCCCTTTATTGTTCGCTCCGTGCAGTGCTTGAATTGATCAAATAAAACAAGAGAGACTATTATAAAACAAAATTAGCCTCCCTTGCAATTATTGAACCCGACCCAACCCAACCCGTACACACCTTGTACACACCTCCCAAACCAATTTTCCAACTTAATTCAGTAATTCATAATTTCCGAAAACAAACACTAGGAAAGCAAAAGTCGGGCTGACTTTTGCTTTCTTTTCTTTTTCTGTATATGAACAACTTTTCTATCAGGAATTTCGCTCCAATTATCAACTTTGGAAGCGATGGTTCTAGTAAAAATTGTTGTCTCGTCGGTGCAACAAGGAGGTTACTTTTTGATTTTTCTTTTTAGTATACTTAATTACGAGGAAATCCCTAGAAAAACGTCGGAAAAACTTGTAACTGTTACATTTACTGCTTCTGTTTCATTTTATTTTGTTTATTCAATGGAAAATAATCGTAGAGATCAGAAATTCTACTGAATACTCTCATAGGTATACTTTTATAGTCTCTTATATCCAGCTCTTTACAGATTTGGTACATTGTATCCTGCACTGCGTCCCGTGCGTTTCACTTCAAACGAATAGTAAAGGTACGCTTGCGCTTCTGAAAAATTGGTTGAGGTATCCGTAGTCCTCCGTATCCCTGCGTCCCCCCTCGATTCGAGCACTGGCTCTCTGTGCTGCTGTTTGTTCGGTAATGATTAGAGGCAAAAGGAAATAAAAATGGAACCCCCGTAGAATGTTTCGTTGTTGGATAGGCCAGCTGAGCGGACGATTATTGTTGTTCAACTATCGAATTGTACAGCATAACATTATAAAAACCTAAAGATAAACATTTCCGCGCGTGTTTTTAATTTTTTTCTTTTTCTTTTACGTTTGAACGTTAATTATTGTATTATCACTCCTACAGTCGAACAGTTCAATTTCATACGTTTTCCCACCGCTGCCGGTCTACGTGTTTATTTAGCCATTAAAGTGTTTGGTTAGATCCCGATTGTTAACGGGCGCGCCCCGTTATTTACGAAGCAAACAATCATAATAATATTATTCCGAGTTATAGTAAATATATTATGATCTCATAGAACAGTGTGCACGCGAGTATGTATTATTTCTACGTTCGAAAAGTAAAAATTGACTGTCGCCGAGATCGGCGGCACGAATGAAGGGGCGGCGACGGTTCGTGCGACCCCTATTCGTGTTCGAAATTCAAAATTTTTTATCACGGGTTTGATTGCGTTTGATACGCCGCATAATTTGTATTGCAATTATACGGACGTTTCCTTATGGTTTTGAATACGCGTTGCGGATCGTGCGTTTCACCCGTTTAGCAATTCCGAAAACTTGTCCAGAAATTTGTTCGAAACTCGTAACCACCCCGAAAAATGAATCCTGCAGGTGGCGCCACACCTATTGACATTTTCCATTTCATGTCCGTACGATTTCGTTGACCGTTTATTTTGGTCTTAACGTCGAGTTATTAAAATTGATCCGAAAAAAAAATTGCAATATTATTGGTTATGTTTCGAGCATTTTCAAGTTTCGTTGCGCAAGTATAATAATTTGTTATTTTGATTTCTATTTTCATATTTTCGTATTTTTTTTTTCTTTAATTATAATATTTGAGTTATTGGAAGTACATACGTTTATTGAACACGTAAATCTCTAGGTAAATCTGGAGTGTAAAAAAAAATAAAAATAAAAAATATAATATTATTAGACACATTGGTACCTAGTAAAAATAGTATCGCGAACGCGAAATATCGTAACATCACGTTGCGCAAATAAAATTGAAAATATGCCAAAAATAACATAAAGTTTCGCCGAGTGTAAATGATTTTAGATTTTCATAAGCTCGTATTTTTTCCGCTGCGGAACGAACTTGAAGCTTAAGTGGCGATAAATTCAATCGGTAAACGTGCGCGAACGCGGCAACATTTAAGAACTGAGGAGAGTCGTGTAACGAAACAGTGTAGGTATACCGCGGAGGAAACGCGTTTACTATTATGCACCGCTGAAAATTTAATTTTTAACATTTAAAGGGTCTACTCGCGGGATTATTTTGCGTAAAAATTCGTTCTTCTCCCTCCCCCCCCCCAAAAAAATGATATCGCTTCAATATAAATAATATATAACCACCGAGGCATGCCAGTTTTTCTTGTAAAACAGATTGCGCGCAGACCCCCGTTAACGGGGCGGAGAGGCATATCGATAATCGATACAACAATTTTAATTTTGAATTTTATTATCCATATTACTATATGGTTTTCGAATAGAGCGAAAAAAAAAATAGGTCAAAAATCGCGTCGCGTCCGATCAATTTCAAAGACGAACGTCGTCGTCTCGATATTACAATAAATCTAATATAAAGGTGGATGTAATATTTTCTCGATAAATCTCGTACTGACGAGCAATACGATAATATGTTATTTATGATTTTTATATTCGAAAAAAACTCTCATTTGACCGGCTCGTTTTTGGGATCTATCGCTATCGTATATGAAACACGGTCGCGAGCCATTCATTATAATATTAATATAACAATAATGTAGACCGTGCGCACGTGCACGAGTGCACGACATCGTTTTGGATGTTGGTTTTTTTTTTTTTTTTAATCAAGTCTCGCGGAACGAACGACCGTGCGAGGTCAGCGATCTCGACTCCCGGCGTTTATCGTAACGCGAAAACTACAATACGACTTTCGCCTTCTAAAATCCACACGTAATAATAATAAATCGAAAAAAGAACTTGACATATATTTCGCATAATGTACACTTTATGTAGTTAATGTACCTACATAATAATATGTGCATCGCAATTGACGATAATTGTAAACAAAAATCCATTCTGATCGGAACTCGGTCAACCGGTCGCCGTGTCAATGATCGTCAAATTGGTAGTTTTTTTTTTTTTTTTTGACGCCCGTGGACCCTCGTCTATGTTGAACTTTGCTGCAGATCTCTACGTGCCATGAATATATTATGATTTTCGTTCAAAACCGCGACGTGTTGTCAGTTTTTAATTTTCTTTCTTGGAAAAACTGTCGGGAACCTATAAGGAAAAATACGTTTGCTGAAATAGTACCACCGGGCGCCAAATCCCTATCGTTTGCAGTGTAAAAAGTTCGGAGTTTTTTACCAACAAAAAAAGTGTTATCTGCAAAAAAAAAAAAAAAAAACACATCTTAATAAAACAAAAAAATATAACTATATTAATATAATTTAAACAACTTCCACGTTCTGTTCACTCGTCAAAATCTATAAAACCAAAATACGCATTTCGAATATTATTGTTAAGCATGTAATAAAACACATTCTTCGGTTCGCAATACCGATCGTTTGAAAAGCGCTCGGTATCCCGTGAAACCATAGTAATATACAGAGTCTTCAAATTTATACGTTGTTGTTTTGAAAGCATGAGTGTGGAGTACCGAAATCCTTTAACACTGTAAACTGTAACATACAATTTGAAAGACCTTGTACGTTGACGGAAATAAAAAATGTCAACACCAAAATGTATTTTTAAACTATCACTCTGTCTTTCTATGGAATTTTTACCATAGATTGCCATTTGAAAATCAAAAGTAAGTAGTCGATTTACCCCCAAAAATATGGGTGACAAAAAATAACAATAATGCAACATTTTAGAGGTACTTGCTTCTTAAATTGTTTAAAAAAAAAAAAAAAATTCTAAAGAAAGTTAATACTTTCTCAGGTATCGCAATGATTATATCTTCGTAAACGTATATGTTACAGGGTTAATGCCGTTATATTTTATATTGTTTGGATATCAAAACCGATTTTGTGCAGTTAGTTTTAACATTATAGAGTATTAGCGTTTTATCAAATCTTAAAGATAAGAACATTGTCAGCTGTTCTTGTACGTTGGTTTTTTCCGAGATTTTAATTTTCAAATGAGATATTATCAAATTACGAATATGCGAAATAATGCAATATAAAAAACATCGAATTCGGTTTAGAAATTTAAATATCGAGAAAAAAACCACCGTACAAATACTGGAAACGTTCTTATCTGTAAGTCCGATAGTTGGCCAATTCACTTTTGTTATTAAAACTAACTGCACAAATAATCGATTAAAGTATAAATATAACGACAACCGATTTTACGACACTAACCGTAACATATATAATTACAAATTTAATCTCGCGCGTTACTTATAATTTATTGAATTTGTTTTACTAATCGCGTTTTTGGTTTGCGGTCTACAGATGCTACGTATCCGCTGACGAAGACTAAGAAATTCTTGTGCGTCTGGGCCAAACGATTCCCGACAATGAACGAAGTCCCGGATCACGTCACGTAAGCATTTTGTTCGATACATTATATTCGTAGGTACCTAGTGTTTTTTTCTCTCCGTGCTTTCTTTTCCGTTTATGGGAAAAACCGCTACTGTTTGCAGTTGAAGAGGCTTAGACGGTATAGGGTTATTCAGTCGACAAATATAAATCATTGCAATCAAAAAACGATTCTGAGCGAAATTCGTTGTGTGTACCACAGTATTATAGTAGTCGTGTTTTTTTCTCGTGTGTAGCCGATGAGGTAACCGGCCGGAAATCGACAAAAATAAAACTGATACATCCGATGTCCGGTTTTCTATATATTTTAAGAAAACCCTCCGGCGGTTGTAAACACATTTTTTTACCGCCTGGTGAAAAGCCCGCAACTTTCTTTAAGGTAACTTTTACAAGGTTTACTAAGTAATTCTTACTAACCGAAAAAGTGTTTTCTGCGGGTAAAATCACACACATTTTACCGATAATTAAAAATCGCTCGCGCGTAATCGAATAAAATAATTATTATTGTCTGTGCATATACTTACGACGGTCGTTTCGTGTCGAGGTGAACAGCTGGATAATAGACGAGATCACGTATACTTTAAACGTATTACATCTCTATGGGATACGCAGTAAAATATTAACACTGTATATGGGTTGGCGTCCGCGTACCCGTTTTTACAATTTTTTTTTTTCTTTTACTTTTACTTTATCCGTGCCGTGTTCTATATTCTACCCCCGCCCCGTGTGTTATATTTTTTTCGTTTGCGGTATCGATGACAAGTACGAATTTTGAAGCGCTGGAACGTGGTCTACCGAAAAGCCGTCGGAAAATAAACCGATTTTTAAGAACAGCTGTAAAATCCGTAAGAAAAAGTAAAAACTTCCAAAATTAGGCCAAAAATGCAATAAATGCAATATGAATTATAAATATACACGTAGGTATAGTTATTTTACGGTTTATGAACCATAATAATGTGTTTTATAACTTTGTGCCTTCGTTTCAAATTGTGGTAGAGTTAAAAATTCCATCAATATCCGTATATTCGTACGTATTATTGTGTAAACACTTAAAATATTAGATTTTTTATAGTATACATTTTCGCATTACGACTTGGTGTTTTCCCTGTTTACATAATATTCGTTTTATTCGCTAGCGAATAACAATAATTTACTGTTTAAAAACAACACTTCCTCGGTGCCGCCATTGCGCGACGTGTTTGGCTTGAAACGAATGAAACTAATTTTAGATAACTTATTTGCAAACACAATTTCGAGGCCTTATCGACGATAATATCCGATCATTTCTCAATAATTTATTAATATTTCGACGGTCGTTTAAACAAAACAAACGAAATAATCTCTACAGGGTGTTTCAAATATTGTACGTTATAGTTATATAACTGCAGTACGCTCATAACTCAAGTCATAACATATTTTGGAAGACTCTGTACGCGGTTTTTTGTACCGAATCGTAAATCTCGATTTTAAAAGTGTACGCTACACACGTTTTAAACAAACGCTCGTACATGCGTTTTCGTGCACATTCATTTGCAGTTTTGACGAATGTTTTTTACATTTTGATTTTCGACTACGTTATAATAATAATAATAATAATGCGTACGTACGCGCAACTGTAAATACTAGGATAAGAGTGGACGGCGATAAGACCACTCATGTACAATTCTGTACGAATTAAATATTCGATAGTTTCTCGTTTCAATTCGTGATAACAACGTACGTTAAATAAATAAAATAGGGATCACAGAACTCTTTACATTTTGGTACTCTGGTACCCGGCACCTACCCGTATTAAAATATTGTAATGTTCCAAAATGAGTTTCTTTACTGGCTAATAAAATTTGAAAAAAAAAAAAAAACAGTCTCTTCTCGTATTATTTTTAAATACATAATATTATTGTAATGTTTTGTACATTTCATTTTAAAAGCGTTTTTGACGACGCTACCGAGTTCAATAGATGTTTTTCCTGAGAATATGCCAACACTCGCATAATAACCTACGGTCAATTTTTTTCGTAAATTTCAAAAACGCCGCCGATTCGTTTGAAATAATATAAACGTAAAACGGCGATGCCCACCGAAACACTTGATATAAGACTCCTCTCAATTGGTTTCCTTATGACGCTTTAAAACCGTTGCTCCTTGTTGGTAAAAATATAATTTTACCCTTACACAGTTATAATCATGTTATCCTTTTAGATCAATTTCAAGATTTAAATATAACGCAATACTCAATAATGATAAGCGTATACTGCGATCAGCTTAACGTCCGCAGTGACTCCGTTTCACAAGTGTCGCAGACACATCAAAATAGTTTTATATTAATTTTTAATTTTGTGGTTATTTTTATTTTTTATGCAGCCCGGCGTTGTGGAGCAAAGTACGATCCATCATAAGGATAAAAGTGGCCAACTACACGATGCTCATGATAATCGTGGGCTGCGTGGTGATGGTGGTGACGGGCAAGAGGGCTCGGGACCGCGGCGAGACTATTATGCAGAGAAATTTGGATTGGCATCAGAAGTATGATGAGGGCAATTCAGAAGAAATTCACAACATTGGTTTGTTTGGAAAGTAGAGTTTTAAAGGTTAGGTTAGTGCGTTCTACGCGAATATTATACGATGGTATGTTATGTTTTTATTATCGTGTATTTTATTTATAAATTATAATATATTAAAATTAATATAACTATACTATAATATATTTTTTTTTTGTGTATCGTTCAGTTAAAATATTATTATTTTATCATAGAAATATTGCAATTTTTATTAATTTCATTAATCATAGTATCCATAAGCTTTTCGCCGGCACCATGTCGTTAAAAAAAAAAAAAATGTTTTATTGTTTTATATAATATACTCGTACAGAGATAATCACGTGTATTTTATCATTTTATTTTCGTTGATTTCAATTTATTGATAATCAAAAAAAAACCATTAGTGTAAGTATATTAAGTATATCACATCAGTATATCCGATCAGTTATTATTATAGGGGCGCACGATAGTTGCATTATTGTCCTGGCGTCTAGCCTTACCACAAACAAGGGCCAACAGAACTTGAAAAAAAAAACAATTAATTAAAATGTATATTAAATAAATATGATTTCTACTTGAACTACACCTCTCCAGTTTTCAACTACTGAACTTTTTAAATTCTCAATCCATCTATTTCTGGGTCTCATAGCCTTCTTCCTTAGGGTTTCCATTCCATTGCTACTTCATCCTCTAAATTTTCTCCTCTCTGCATTATATGCCCTCCCCTTTACATCCTTTACCCTTTAACAACAACTAGTATGATGATACTAATACCATACCTTGCCCGTCTCGCATCGTTTCATTGATGCCGGTTTGAAATAAAGATAGGTAATGGATTGTAATAATTTTGGTGGAAAAATGTCTTATGAAGAGTATAGGTACACCGGTAGAAGAATAAGAAAAGATTACATAGTGTAAAATGATCGCCACTTATTACATTTTGATCAGACTCCGATGTTGAAAATTGTCTAGCCCACGTGAAAAACGATCGTATTTATAAATTGAAATTTAATATTATTTATTAATTTAGTATTATTATATTTAATATGACAATTATAATACCTAATAATACAAGTATATGGCGATTTTGATCAGGGTCAGTGTGTCAATATTAAATTTTTTTTTTTTTTTTTTACACTCATTTTATATAAATATAGCAATTTATAATAATTTCGTGGGTCATCGATCATCAACGGATTAATGACTAATTTAAATAAATGGTGGACCGATTAGACATTCAACATCAAAATAAATTATCAACTCTCACTCTTTGTGTACTTGTATATAATGAGTGTTAGGAAAGATGATCAATATGTGTACGTTAAATAAAAGAAAAAGCTAATGTTCAGTTTCAGTGTAACGTAAAACAGATAATTAATACTTAAAGTTTACAAAATATACAGTAGTGTAGTAGAATAGTTTGTAGTATATAGGTACTAGTAGGTCTATCTAATAGTCTAATAAATAATATTACCAAAAAAAAAAAAAAAACAAACTGTGACATTTGAATCTGCAATGGAGTTGAAAGTTGAAAGTTCCAAAAGACACATATTTGTTGATACTAATGCCTTGCTACATTATACAGTATGTCCTATAGTGTTCATATTAACATTCGGATAACACTGCAGTAGGACACATAAGAAAAGTGCACCTCCTCAGATTTGTTTATGTATTTCCAAAGTCCTAGCATATGTAATATGTATTTATGTTTGAGCTTGGCTATTGAAATTAAAAAAACACCCTCCTCCCGCAACAATATGGTGAAATTCAACCAGTTTTTTATCGATTCAATCCACTTATGGATATCAATTTTGGCCTATAGTTCTTTAGAAATACGTCAATATCACTGAAAAGCACCAACGGCAACTGTTCCGTATTATAAACGGAACTTTAGTAATGCCATTTTTAACTAATTGGTTTCGTAAATTAATCGTACATCAATTTTGTAATTATGCCGATGACGGAGAAAATTCTCGTATATATTATCCAGATATATCCTATATTGGCTATTAAATCTAATAGATTGGGGGCATTTTCGGGTTCTATACTATAACAGACGTATGCATCTAGTCTTTTGACAACTGGATGTATAACCTAAGTTAGTTACATAGTTTAAGTAAAATTGTACAGAAACCCCCTTACGACCCAAATCCAGATGATAATCCGGAGCCTTTACCAAGGCTCGTTAGACGTCCCTGTATACTTTCCATAATGAGCAAATGTCACACCTATACTCATTTACTCATATAAATTGGGATATGGAGTAGCTGCACCGAACTTTTTTTTTCACAGAGACCTAAAGTTTTCATCAAATACTTATTTTTAATCGTAACACAATTTTTAAAAAAAGTTGATGATTTTTGAGCTATTTTGAAAACATTTGAAGTATTCAAGTGGTTTTAGTTTTTATTTGGTTATATGCGAATAAAAATGTTTTGGCTCAGTGAAAATGCTCAACAATTTCACACGGTGGGTGGGCTACTGTTGTAGGAAAGAGGTTAGGAAAGTAGGATATAGAAAGGAATTTAATCTGTACACGATGATTAATCTTGGCTAACGAAAAACGATTCTGAACAAATTTTGGTTACACATGTTTTAAAAAATCGTAATATTTACAATTGGAAAATAATACATTTCATATAAGTTCCCGTTTATTACTATTATGAAAACCTTTAGAAAATTAAAAAATGACCTCTCTACTATTCTAGTTGGATTTCTTTTCAGAAAAAGTGCTATACTTGTAAATCGGAGCAAAATTTCTGGTAGAAAAGCTGTCTACTAAAAAAAAATTAATATTGTAAAATCAATACATTCCTCGCTCCACCTCACAATTTAAAAATCAAAAATCACGTTGCGTACAGATACAAATTCTATACTCTATATATCCTTTATCTTCTTTATTTCCTACCTACAACAGTGACGCACCCGTTAACAGTATCAGCTCTTTTTTTTTTTTTGGTGCTGGTTTTTGTTATAATAGACATCGAACAGTGAAATAGAAAGGAAAAAACTAAAATCGACTATATTCTTTTGAATAACCCAATGGATCGTTCGTTATACGAGTTCGTAAAAAAAATGAGGATTTTTATGTCGGAATAACGACACGTGTTAATATATATATATATATATATATACGAGTACGTGGGTTCTTTTCGGACGCCGTGTACGAAATCTGTTAAATTTACAATTTTTTTCTTCACCGTAATAAAAAATAACCCCCACGTAAAAACCGCAGTGTTTCGCATTGTCGTTTACTGCACGGTCGACTATATTAGGTATATACTTTTTTTCACAGACCATCATCGATACTGCAGGTTTTCCTTCTATATATTATCTTCACAAGATTTTACTGTATTAAACCATTTTAAGCCGTATCATCGTTTCGAAATAGTAAATCTTCACGTTACCGAGCGAACGTTTTCATCGGATACACGTCAAAAAAGATTTTTTGTTATACGGTTGAGATTTTGTCAAAATCACCTTTTTGTCATATTGAATAGTACTGGAGGGGGGTGGGAGGGGAGGAGCGCGTCGATATTCGCCAGATGTCTGCGGTATAGGTGGCTCTGTTTACATGCGAGAATTCCTTTATAGAAGACCACAAAAAGTCGTAAATAATATATAAGACCGTCGACAAATGGCCGTTCGTTTATGGGATTTTTGCCGAACATCATATTATATTTCCTTTTTTTTTCTCTACGATGCAAATCGCGTCGTCCAATTTCGACAAGTCAATATACAAGTCGTATTTGTCGATATCAAACGGAATATATATTATACGGATTATAAAATGAGTACTTATAGGTATAATTGTATTTATTTTCTTACTTTTTCATACACGAGTAATACACGTAGAACGATGATGTTAAAAATAAATTATGATCTGTGCAGTGTGTTTAAGTATTGCTTCCCATTATCGAAAAAAAAAAAAAAAAAAAAAAAAATTGTAATATAGTCAAATCGCATTCCGAATGCGAGGAATTTAAAAATTATGTATAGGTAAGATATTTCTACTCTAATTACTACCAATAGATTTCATGAAACAATAGATTGTCTACAAAGTATAGATAGTAGTAGTATAGTATAGTAGTAGTATAGTATAGTAGTAGTGGGAAAAAGTTGAAATTCGATAATCCGGATTTTTGAAAAGCGAAGATGTACACACTAAAAATAATACTTATTTAATAATATTGTAAAAAAAAAAAAAATAAAATATTTCATGGATTTGAACATTTTTATTTCCATTTAAGGAGTTTTGGAACACGGGTTGTGATACTCGCGCTAAAACTATATAGGAATTATATTCCAGTATCTTCCTATTTTAAATCGCACTTAAAATAACGATTTTATTTAATGCGTAATACTTATTCCCTATGAGTAAATATAGTTATTAGTATTTTTAGAATAAAATACATAATATTAAATACTAATTTGTTTCTTATTGAGGTTGTGACGGTTTTTTTCATCATATCGATAGTAATTAATACATAAAGTCAATAAAAATTAACGCAGTTTTTAAATTAGGCACTCCTAGATGTATTGCGTTTGGTTGGCAACAGTGTTTTTTTTTTTATTTATTATTATTTCCGTTATTTATTTTCACTGGAATTAGTGATTATTAAGTGTATTCTTGTTTATATTTCGGGCGTTGCCATGTACCGGTTAACAATAAAACGACTCGTGTTGATAGTGAGAAACTTTTATCAAAATGGCGATTGCAGTTCGATGATTTTGCGTTATTCTCGGACGTAACTCAGCACCAGTTAACAACAACAGTTAAATATGTATTAAATTCATTTGTCGGGCAGCCATTCAAAATTTTACCGATAGAGCTATTGTATGCCCAAATGGTATGGCATTTGCTTTCCTCATGTCCGACATAATATTTCGTACATGAGATTAGAATTGCTACTGAACATAGTCATATTATTTACTTATTTTTTTATTTTTTTTTTTTAAATAAAGTGGATTTTCTGAAATACGTATTAAAAACTGCTTTTTAAATGACCCCGTATATTGCAAAACAATTATAAATTAATAAAGTCGACAAATTAATATGTTACAGTTTTATATGAATCGACGTGCGACGTAACGAATGTCGACCAAGGGGCAATGAAAATAATTTAAGGGCTGTGGTTGTATATTTCAGGTGCCTTATCAAAGTTTTTATA